AGATTCAGGTCTCCCGATTCACACGCCACTTGACACGCGGTCCTGCAGCAAAGCGGACAAGTTTGTCCGACAAGAAAGGCTACCCCCCCCCCCGCCCCCCATTGAAGGGTTGGGGTGGGAGGGGGGAAGTGTAGCCATCACGACTGCTCAAGTTTAATAATAGTAAGCCCATAGCGAAGCGATGAAGTTTTAAAAAGACTCGCGTGCACGTCAAACCTTTCCGTGTGTCCCCCGCAGCTGCCCACCGATTTAACAATCACCTTGGCTTTCCTCTCGGCCACCCCTGCGAGCGCGAGCAGGACGTTTTGGCTTCGTTAAAATCCGGTCACATCGGCTTCCGTGGCAGCCCCCGCTGAAGCGTGTGCGCCCGCTGAAGCATGGCAGCTTCGATGCAGCGCCGCCCCTGCCCACCGTCAAGACGCCCGACAGAAAAAACCCCGAGGAACGGCAGCGGTGCTCGCCTCCTTCCCCCCTGGTCGCCAAAACAGAGTCCACGCGAGGGGAGAGATATTTTTGTGAAGGCCGCACAGGGAGCAATAACAAGGCGGCTTGCTGGAAGAGCGTGGCGGGCCCAGCGCCGAGTGATGGATAGCTTTCCCGACAATTTCCACCAAACACAGCTGGGCACACGGAGGATCTGTTAAAGTGAAAGCGGTGGACATGCAGGCGAGGGGGGGGGGGTGGCAGTGTGGGAGGGGGAAGTCGTTTCGATGCAGAAAAGCCATTTTGGTTGTTGCTGTTTTCGTACAGCGCCCGGTGACCAGTTCCATTATCCTCACGTGTTCTCACCATTTACATGCTGCACACTACTCCTCGCAGAAACCAAAACAGGACAAACAAAACAATGCTTCCATGCGTCCACCCACTCGACAAAACCTGCCTCTCCCACCAGGGAAGAAGAGATATTGAATATCAATAGCTTTTCACCTTGTTTTAAATAAATGGAATTGACCAATTGATGAAGCAATTCTTCCCAGAATCCTGACAGCGGTCCATTGTAAACGCTCAGCTTTCCCACCCCCAAACCACAAAGAGACTTGCCACTCTTTACCTCTCATTGTCCAGGGGACTGATAAAGCAATAGCGACCATTACAGCGATAAACACTGCAGCCCGGAAAGGTGTGTGGAGCACCTGGCGTGGGAAAGAAGAACGGGGCATTGGTCGCGGGCACCGCATGTTGCCACCTAATTTCCGTGCCCGACGACTCCCGCATCCCAGATATCCCCCCCTCCACTCCTGCCCCGGCCGTGCCCCAGGGAGCCGTGTAGGTGAGAAGGGTTGAAATGTTAACGAGCAGCCGATAATTGGCCGCCCAGGTTTTGTGCGGGCCCCCAGCTGCCCCCCCCGCCCCCCCCACCCCCCCCCACCACGAGGAGGAGGCGGCACCGCGTCGGAGATGACTGCAGACCACCAGGAGGCTTGGAGTGTCGGCCGGCCGTCCCTGGATGTCATCGCGTCACGGGTGTAATGAGCTCCCCTCCGCATGACGAACGGTATTCGTATTGCTCCCCAAGCTTCGTCTCGCACTGCAACGGGCTCCGTGTTGATAGCAGCGCAGGGTGTCCAGCTCGGGTGGATGAACAGAGGAGTCCCAAAGAAGAGGCAAAGGCGCTAATCTTGCAGCACCAAATGGAGCACACGCGCAAATGGTGTTCATCTCTTGCCGTCCGCGATTCATACATTCTACCCAGAAACACCGCAGGATTAAACTCCCTCGTGAGTCATTCTTGGGACTTTGAGCAGATTACTTTAAGAGGAAAGGTCACTGGCCGATTGTCAGCCTGCAATATATTTCTCCTGTGTCGAGCAGCGTTATTGACAAAGATTATGGAGTTTTTATTTTATTACTATTTGTGCTCGTACACCGCCGCCACTGCAGTCCCTTTTCAATTCCTGCTTAGGAGAAAACCAGCAGAGCCTGGGAGAAATCCCACGAGCGCACAAGAACATAACGCGCTCTCTCCACATGGACGGACGACACTACGCGTACTCGCTATAAATGGTGGCCACCTCATTTGCCACGCAGGAGTGCCATTCACACATCGCGAACGGTGGGGGACGCGTCCCGAAACCCGTGCGGGCGCTTTCGGAGGGCACGGGCAGCATCCGAATGGAAGAAAAGATGACTGGCAGCACTTAAAGCTCGGTGTGGCTGCACAACAGGAGAAACCCGGGACCGTTCGTCCCGTCTGCCCCTCATCGGAGCACGGTCGTTAAAAACACGTCCCTCGCCATCTGCACCGTGGCCCTTGAACGGCTCCCTGGGTACGCACAGGGACGGCAGCAACGGGTTTTTTTTGTGCGCCAGAGCTGGCGCTGGGCCGAGCGCACCCGTTTCCTCACGTAGACGACGGCACCAACGAGCGACTGCCAAGTTTGCGAGGGTGGTTAAATCTGACGCGTCTTACTGACCGCCATTCACTCCCATCGAGATTTATTAAAAAGGAGGAGACTTCCACTCCGCCTCATTCAGATCCATTAGAGCAATTGGCATTCACCTTCACAGATATATATTAAAGTTCCTGCTCATCCCTTTCATCGACATCTATAAGCGTCACAACCAGTTACTCCAAATGAGATCTACGCAAGAAGCCACTGCCATTCGCTCTCATCAAGATCTATTAAAATAATATACATTCGCTCGAAGACCATAAATGTGCGCGCGCACACACACACATACACACACACACGACCTTTCTCTACGTGCCTGAACCAGGTCCAGCAGCCTGTGCCTAAGCACGTTCTCACTTTACGGTCCGAGTCGGAGTGAATGGTAATATTCATTCACTCGCACGGCGATATATTCAAGTGAATGCCACTCTCATTTCGGAGATACCTTCCATGGCAGCTCAAGTGAATGCAGGTCAGGCATGGGCAAAATAAATTGAGCGGTGTTACAGAATCTCAGTGCCACGGAGACCCCCGGGCAGCAGTTCAAACAGCCTTCCTACGGGCCACTGTAACACCGAGGAGGCACAAGCTCACAAAAGAGCAAGGGTGGAGGCAGCAGATCAAGCGCATGTGCGGCTTCGCTCCCGGAGCGCATGTAATTCCACATGCAAAACCAAGAGCCCTTCGATGCCACCACTTGGCTGGCGAAATACGGCGACAGGGTGGCGTGGCGAGAGGCCAGGCTCGCCCCCACTGGCGCCATGAGTGGTCGAAGGTGCAGAGTAGCACGTTCCGCTTAGAAAAAAAGACCTCGCGTGGGGAGGACAACGAGAAACTTGGCGAGCGCCACCGGCGCGCTGGCACGCACAAAAACAATTTCACGCACATGCGCCGCCTGCTGCTTCTGCCAATGCAGCGGAGGGGCTCATAAAACGTGCGAGATGGCGGGAGACGGTAATGGAGTCTACGCACGTGGGCACGTGGTGCTGGCGAGCCATCTCTCCCTGGGCGCAGACTGCTGTTTTGGGGTTCTTATTTCACCCAAGTCGCGATTATCGTTTCAAATGCCACCTTCTCAGCCACGCCGTACCAGTAGAGGGCTTTGATGGAAATTTATCTTCATTGCAAAGAGGCATTTCTTTGTAGATTAAAGAAAAAAAACTCTTAAATTAGAAACTTTAAAAGAACACTGTAGTTTATGTTGTCATTAATTACATTTATAGGGTAAACTTTTTTTTAGGTGTATAAAAAAACCTTAAAAAATAAGTTGATAAAATGATGTTTTCTTTTTTAAACTTCCATTGCCAAGGACCCAGAAAAATACTAAATCTGGGTTGTATACACATTTTTATTCCAGCTTGCACGATGAATAATTTCAGTTTAACCGACACATGAACACTTTTTGCAAGCCATATAAAACGTTGAGCCACTGAATGTGGATATGGATTTCTAAAGGAGGTTTTCCTTAACCGGTTTCTTTGAGTTTAAAAGGTGGTGCCGATGCAACTTGAGCAAGTGTATTAATCCCATAATGACGGGAAGCAAAATTTGGGAGTAAAACTGGGAGGACAGACGACCGATTGTCCTGCGTGCGCGCAGGATTGGCGACCGCTCTCCATGCGAGGTAGACAGAAAGCCTTTGCAGTAACACGCACACCTCTTAAACGGTGGCAAGAGGCCAGAGGTAACAAAACCCACAATTTTAGAGCAGGCTTTGTGTCCACGTTTATGTAGTCGAAAAGCCAGAGTGCAAGTGTCTCTCTCGCTCGCCCTCGGCTCAAAACAAGCGTATACACACGTTCATCTCCACCTGACGGTTTGCAATCTAGGATATTAAATGCCACATTCCCAGGGTCGGCAGCGAGCTCCCCCCATTAACAACCACCACTGTGGCTGCCCCAGTGATGGCGATGGGCGGCCTCTGCGGACAGCCCAATGTGCATTTGGCGTGAGGATCGAGCCCTCGGTGCTGGGCCTCTTGTAAAACCCCTCGCTCAACCCTCTGATTGCACTCTGCTCCCCCCACCCCCACCCCCCACAGCTCAAACGTCAACGAAGCGCCATGCAACAGCAGCAGAGCGCGCCACTTTAAAGGGGGGGGGGGGGTTCCCTCCGCTTAGAGAGGGCTAAACACTCCTCCGGAGACCGTTCAGGTCACTGCATGTCGGTGACAAGGTTCACTTACCCGCTTACAGCAGCGTGTACAAAATAAATTACAAAGTTAGAGCCGGGCTACGAGATTATTTAATGACCACTTACTCCACCGTTTATCGGTTCGATCAAGGAGACAAAAAGTGCATAGAACGAAAATAGCTTACAAGACTCGTCTGTGTCCACCGAGGGATGGGCGCGATTTGGCACCCTCATCGACAGCCGCATCACACTGCGGAGGGGGGGTTTACCGCCTTCAGGGAGGCAGGCTGTGGGCTGTCGCCAAAAAAATTGTAGTCCATTACAATTTTTAGCTTATTGACGTTTGACATTGTCCTTGCGCCGCTATAAAATAACAGTATATATGCAAGCTTTTCTTGTACACACGCTGCCAAAACGGGAGTTATGAAACACGGAGGGGTCATGCAAGAGAGCACAAGACCGGCTTGACCGTACCTTTTCTCCCGTTATCGGGTTGACCACCTTGTCCACGTCGAAGTTCAAAACCCCTTTTTCATCCTGCGGCACAGACGGACAAAAAATACGCACACATTTGATTTATTGGTGGTTGGGGCAAAAAATAATTTAAAAAATAATTTAGACAGCCATCTTATCACGGCAGAAATCAGTCTCAAGGGTTTCACGCGTACATTGGGGAGGTGTGTTCCATGACGATCCGCAGACAGCAAGGGCGTTGTACGCCCACACACAGGGCCCAATAAGTCGGTCGACACATGCGCGCACACAACACAAATGCACACCACCATCGCAACAAAAATGCCAAGTCCTTGCATTCTGCTGAAACCACCCTAATTAGGCAGGAGGCTGTACAGCTGCTTCAAGATAACAAGACATAATGTAAATTGCATGGGGAAGAGTGAGAGAGAGAGACAGAGAGAAAAGTCAATTGCATGCTGGAAAACCTGGGCCGGAACGTGTAGTTAAATTGAGGTGGCATTTAGGTTAATCTCCAGGTGCCAAAAAAAACAGCGTACAATCTACACTGCAACAACTTTGACCATGAAAGGCAACCAATAATTGAATATGGACAAAGTATAAAAAAACACTTTTATGGCTAAATGATTAATGTTCTTCTTTTATTCTTATTCTCAAGGATGTCTTCCAGCAGATGGACCTGCTGTATGTCGACTATCAGCACGAGCCCTTCCCTCCTCTTCCTGCCCATCTACAACCACTGAGGGCCATCGCCACAACCATCATCACGAGGCACCGACTCGCCACCGCAGCGATGCACGAATCGTCTCAATTCAGGGTCCCAAGTCACAATTCTAGAATCCACTTTAGTTGACATCGTGGTGAATTTAACAGCCTCAAGTGACTGCAGGGATCGCATCAACCCATTACGTATAATATATGCAGTATGAAATAATGATTCTTGCCACACAATTCGATGCACGCAACATAAGCGCTTGAGAATCAATATAAAAAAAATTATGCACCTGCGTTCCACCTCTAATTTCCAGGGAGTAAAATTAAAGCGTCAAAGCTTTTAAAAAACCACCCGCTGCTTTAACCCCCCCCCGCCCCACGTTGCAGTGGCCTTTTGCTACAAGCACCTCACAAGGGGTGGTTTTGGATGTCAAGATTGCAAACCCTCTGAAGTCCCCCACCCCCACAACTGCGAAAACACGAACAGAGTAAAGCGCCAGCTAAGAGAACAAGGGTGACCCTTTAGCTCGGGGGCAGGAGCCGAGCCAGTACCGATGAGATTCTGGGTTCAAATCTGACTAAACGATCTGTGATTAAAACACGGTTCTCTGGTATAGCAAGTTGATCGTCTCAGCCCAGTAGATGACTACATACAAAAAAGTGTGTAACATGTCTTTTGGTTTAATTAGATTTTTGGATACATTTCAGCTCTGATAGTGCAACTATACATACAACGAATTATTTTGTAGCTGGGCACAAATGGGAAAGCGTGCCCCCGGTGTGGATAAAACAGTAACTTGAAGACATTTAAATAAGGTATACGAAATCTACTTCCATGGGGGGGGGGGGGGGGGGGGGTGTCACTCGCACTGCTCTGCAAAAAAGACTTCACATCATGACACAATGCTGATTAAAAAGCTACTGTGCATGCACCTCATTATTGGGCAATAATAGCTCCCATGTTGTACGGAGCACCATTACATTTAAGATGGGCATCTCGTGTATGCGTGTTTCACTGGGCCAATTGTTAACCTTAAATTTTAAAAAATCGGAGACTCTCCATCATGTGGAACGCCAACGCATTCTGGCATGTGCCGCTTGCAACCACTTAATCCGGATTCGAAATGGGAGAGTAAAATCGGCAACCTTGGAAATGCGTACAGCAGCCGCAGGGGTTCAGAAGCGGAGTTTGGGAAGACCTGGCCTACGCGCACTCCGAGCCGAGCATGGGGAAATTGCTGTCAGACACAAAACCGAGGGGGGCAGACGTTGCGTGGAGTGGTCCCCCTACCAGGCAGAGACTATTAGAGATGTGCGCGGGAGAACCACGCCGGACCCACAGGCGGTAGCGCTCATTTTTCACTTTGTCTGCCCCGCGGCGATTCGCCCCGATCTGCCGGATTCGGTAACACCGACCAACATTGGCACAAGCCCCCCCCCCACCACCACCTCCCGAGCTACATGGCCACCCACATAAATCATTCTTTGCAACAAAGCCCAAATTAAAACATAAAAATGTGAAACTTAAGTTCCCCTCCCCCATATCCAGCCGGATGGCACTGCTGCAGGCAGGGCACTCGACTCGCTATTGGAAGTTTGATCGCCGGCGGAGTTTCCGGTGCAAAGTGAGCCACCCACCACCTCCCAGTGGTGAATTAGGCTGAGCCTGCCACGACAGCACGGCGGTATCCTGCCACCGGCTCTGGGAGCCACGTGGCGGCCTTTGGAACAGCGAGAGATTCAAAAGTTGGTCCAACTCTACTCCCGCTCTGCTCTGAAAAGGGACCGCGCGCTGCCCAAGACATTAGCCCGCTATACATATTTATCTATATCTGTTACAAGGCAGCATTGAGGACAAATCTGACAATCTATTTCATGTGTTAGTGTGTAATTGTTCCCCAATTTGCTCATCTTAGTTGCCTCATTTAAACAAAACAAATTGCATACGTTTTAAGGTGGAACGGAGTCTGTATTGGTTGGCAACTTGGAGCAAATAAAAATGCCGAGACAGCAAAACACTTCGTCTTTACAAGATCCGATCTTGCAAAACCATCGTCTTGCCGTGCATTGAAATGGTCGCCGGTGGAACTGAGTCGAGGAGACCGACATCTGTGAACAAGAGCGTCATAAGCTCAGAGGACTTCTCCAGGATAAATCAAGATGCGAGGAAACAGAGGGCAGTGGACACCACCGACAGCAAGGGTGGCGCTGTGTAGAGTTAGTTTCGTGCACCTAGGCCACAGTAGGTGACAATCTGAACGAACCGATTTTGTCACCGAATGGGGAGGCAAGGCCATGTTAAATGCCTCTGAACAAGCATAACGAGGGGGGGGGGGGAGGATGACGACACTTTCGAGCCTTCTGTGTGGAGTTTGCGTTTCACCACGTCTAGGCATGTGTGGGTTTTCTCTGGGTATCGTAGTTTCGTACCGCGCATGAGCATCATTTTAAAACTGCCCTAACATCTGAAGAGGAACGCCGAAAAATAAAAACAGTTCTGTGACTGATATTTTTACAAGACAGCCTTGTTATAAAAAAGCACGCACAAAAGAAAATGTGGGTTGCAACCTGCGATAAGGTAAACATTTCCATGAAAAATGTAATCATAACACAGGCACCTGTCATAACACGTATCAATGTCTTGATGTGCAAAACTGTTTTATGTATATATTTTTTAAAGTTCCCTTTTTTATTGCAGGATCAAACAGTTTGTTTTTTTCTTTCAACGTACTGTCACAGGAAAACCACACAAACACAACCCCACGTGTTATTATTCGACGGAGGCGTCGCGCGAACTTTCTCGACGCACGCCTCCATTCATCCTAAAAAAGACGACCGACGAATTTAAAACAGGAACGCACAAGCACCACCCAGTCGCCACATCAAACGGTCACGACAGCGCCCGCGGGTTAACGCGCGGCACGCAAACCGCCCCCCGTAAGTGGACGCGCCGGGCTACCGTATCGTGCTCGCCTTTGGACGTGTTCCACTGCTTTTGTTTACAATGTGCTTTCCCCGTTTCAAGGTTGTTCAAAAAGTTCATCTGAATGTCGTTTAAAAAAAAAAAAAAGGCCTCATTTTGCATTTGTGGTGGAATATGGCCGGCCAGCAGCACGTAGATGATACCCCGAACCTAGCGGGGCCTCGTTGCGCTCGCCCAAACTGCTTTGCTTTCACGCCAGCTCCTCTACAGTTGCTATAAGTGGCCGGCTTTTAAAACAACTTGATAATTAAGGCAGATTGCGCGAGTTTCTCGTATTTGGACGATGGTGTCAATGCTTCAGTTTTAAAGCAACTTACATCATGTGTTCGCACATCTTGAAAGTACCAAGTACAATAAGAAAAAAGGCAAATTGAATAAAATCTACGATTGGTTTTTCTGCTCCACGCTTCAACCAATGAGCAACGGATGCACGAACAGCCCAACAACAGCCGCCATTCGCCACCAAGTGGTGGTGACGTCAAGGCACTTGTGCCAGGCTAGGTGCACTTTGAGAACACACTAACACAGACCTCTGTATAGCCGTAAGAGACCCTTGGCTTAAGTGCTGTAAGCAAGTACCTATGAAGGCCAACATGGCCCATGAGGGAGCAGAGTGGGCAGCACCATGCCCAGCCACCTTCCTCTTCCCAGTGCTGATGTTTAACACGCCGCACGAAGTACTCATTTAAGGCAGTGTCGATCTTGGGGAGGCCCAGGACCAGTTGAGATTGTTACTGGCGTTGGCTTGAGTGGGAACCTAATTCCGATCGTCGGGTTCACAACGCGCTACTAAGTACTGTGCCACCACTCCTCACGCACAGTTGCACAATCACATGCACGTTGGGACGTTTCAAATGCACGTGTCTTTGAGACGAACAAGTTCACGAGGCAAGCCTATGGGCTTCATTTCCCCCACACAGTGATGCAAGTATTAGTACGGTTAGGACAAGCGCCGTTTGAGCACCACCTATTATGACCGGTATGGCACACTGTTAAATCTTTAATCAGCAATCGTTGACAAGGCCAGCATGACACACGCTTCACCATCCGTCTCACCAGACATGGTGCTCGTACACCTTCACAAAAATACTTGCTTGTTCGGTTGAGTCAACCTAGGAGTGGGGCAAGGACACTTTCAGATACCGATCACCACCTGGCGTTTATGCATCGGGTCCAGAAATCTAACTGCGCGTCACAGATCGCAGCGCGGCAGCGCTCTTGCCCAACGCTCCGCTCATGCGGGGCAGGCGGATTAACAAAAGAACACGTCCCGTCATTAGCGCCACCGCTGCGGCATTAGCGTGCAAAAATGTGAAGGGCTAATCTTTGTCCAACAATCATTGACAATCTGCTGGAATTGAGTTACCCCCGAGGGCTTTGGGAAAGCTCATTTTAAAAATGGACAGGGGCGAGGCGGCGGTGGAAATAACGGCAAAGTCTTGCTGGAAACGCTGGATGCAGCCGCAGCGATCATGGCCGCACCACCAACACGCAAACCTCAAGGTACCTGGCTGTGTCGCGTGGAATTTCGTTAGGGCTATAAATGATAATAATGACGATGACAGCAGGATGATGGGTTTTGGTCATTATGTTAGAAGGGATAAAATTTCTAATGACATTTAATTGAATTGTTTATTTTAAAAACAACACCCATATGCCAACACTGAACATTTATTGATTTTTTTTTCTAATTTGATCTGCAGTGGGCCATCTGAATCATCGCGTGAAGCGATCCGAATTCATCGTCCACAGAGGGTGCCAAAGGAGATTATGGTCCTACTCGGGGTCTCCGACGATGAGAGGTGGGGGGGGGAAACAGCGGCGCCGTTGTAAGCGTACCGCGTTACGAACACAATCACCCGAGTTTGACTCCCAGCCACAGATAACATCAGTAGTGAGCCTTATCTGCACCGTTCCTGGGCTCCTCCCTCAACCCCCCCTTCACCAAATCACATGGAGCAGCATGGTGATAAGATCAAACTATCAACATGAGAGATAGCTTGGAGAGGGCCTCTATCCAGCAGTGGATTGACAAAGAGTTGCATTTTAAAAAGGAATAAAATACTACAATTACAGAAAAATGTAACATCCTTTTTGATTATTATTACTATTACTACACTCGTTTACCCAGGAAAGCCTCACCGAGTCTCATTGCTATTTTCCAGGATGGTCCTGCCCAGTTTTTTCCAGGATGGTCCAATGATTGCAGTCTATTCCAAACTAACAAGATTTGCACCATAGTGCTAGTACAGGGCGTCCTTGCGTGATCTTTAACATCCAATGTAAAGCAAATGGAGTGTATGTTATGGTTTAAATCGGGGCAACCACTCGAGTCTAGCCGTGAACCTCTGCAACCAGCGGCGAAAGCACGACAGCTAGGTCAAGTCACTGCCTGGGGAGGGGGAGGCCCAACCATACATGAACCTTGGCGTCTATCTGGTGGTAGATCCCTGTATATTAGGTTGGGTGGGACTGCGCATGGTAATGGACTGGTATCATCAGGCTGGTCTGGCCTGCACGGGAGCGGACCTCGATAATATAAAAAAAAGATGGGCGTCTGCGCAGCAGCGGACTCCGTGTGCAAGGCCGAGTGGGTGCGCGTGTGGCGGTGGACACCTTGGCGAGGAGCTTTCCACTGCCGTGGCCCAGGAGCTCGTGCAGCCCCACCTGCACCTCGAACGACGGGCCCTTCCACTGCACGTACAGGTCCTAGGGAAGGGGAGCGCACACAGTACAGTCAGCTCACAAAGCACAGTTTCATTACCAAAGGAAATTTTACAATTCAATAATCGTGATGTTGTCGCTTGATATATTTCGGCCTACTACGTCTAGCTTCTTTGAAATCTACCAATGAAGGTCCCCGCTCGCAGCTATGGATACGCGGGTTATTCGACTATACTTCAGCACGCTGGTCCAGAAATAAGGGGAAGGCCCCAGGTCCGGTTCAGATATCACTGGCCTGGAGTCAAACTCAGGTCGCCTGGTTCATAGTTCAGCGTGCCAACCACTGTGCCTTCGCGTCACCCCTCTACACGGCACAAGGCAATATACCAAGAGAAGCGTGCGTGCGTGAGATTAGGGGTGACTTTTAATGTGCACGTTTGTGCCATTAAAACATCCTAGGACGCTGTTAACACCCACGGCCCTGCAAACCTGCCATCAACAGCAGCAGCTCTTATCAGGACAGGCACGTCTTTAAAGGGCAATTAGCGTCCATCTTCACCTAATCACACCTAGTGAAGCAACAGCCATTTGCGAGGTGTTACAAGCACGTGACACCATGCACACACGCGCGTCATACAGCACTCAAAACAGGTGCTTCGTCTTGCAGTACACTGCAGACGGACACGTGCATAACGCCAACGCAGAAAGCGCACGTACATACGTACTGGCAACTACCTCGCCTTTTGCAAGTTTATTTAATTTTTCATGGCTGCATTTGTTAAGCCAGGCTTAATGATCTCTTGTTGCTTGTGACATGATACATTAAATGACAATGCAATGGGTTCATGCAATCTAAAATAATTATACCAGTTTATATTCTTGGTTCTTTCGGTAAAGTCACGTAGAAGGGAATCGCTGCAGTCACGTAAGCTTTAAAACAAAATATAACAGTTTAATATGCTAATTTTCCAATCAACATAAGGAAAGCCTTTAAAAACGAGTCTTGTGAAATACCTTTGCCTATAGCAAACTAAAGAAGCACCAACAAAGCCACTGTTGTGGAGCAAACAAGATGGAGTGGTCACCGTAGAGGTTTCGAATTGGCCATAATCATTTCAAGTCCTTGCATATTAAAGAATCACAAGTGCATTCGAGTTAGACTGAACAGCTCTGCACGGGTTGAATGCTTAGTCAAGCATGCTTGACCTGATTAAATCAGGTGATGTGAATGAGGAGTTGTTATTTGAGGCACTAACTTTGAGCACAGAGTTAATCACTGACATTTAACGCGCGCATGAACAAGCGTAACTGGCCAGCACCTCCTACACGCACAAATTAAAACAAAAACACGAGCTGCCGCCGGATTTGTTGTGGATGCACAGCAAACTGCTATGCTCGCACGACTCAGCTACTCCGTTTCCTTTCTTTGCTGGCACAGATCTGGGCCTCAGCTCACCCTCTCGCGCATCAATCTCACCGGTGCCAACTCGCCGCAATCGCGAAATTCCACGAGCACCCTGGGAGAGACGGGGGATGCGGGAGTGGTAGGAGAGACTTGGCAACCCAATTACTTTGCACGGCCCTGCAGGGGGGTACCCCCCAATCAACCCGTCTCTCACTCCCCCTGCCTACACTTCCCTCCAGTTGTACGCTATCCTATGCCGGAGAAACTTCCTAACCACGGGCTCCGCGAGAGTGCCAGCCGGCACCCGTGCTGGTGCATGGCTGCAAGGCCACGGATTGCATACCGCGGCCAGAGCCATAACCAGCACAACGGGGGGCCGGGGAGGAAAACAATACGCTACGAGACCAAGTTTTAAATATAAAAAACAATAAATGGGGGAGCGTGGGGAGAAAAACAAAGATACAAAACTCGTCAATCCTGATGTCCGACAACCTTGGGCAACAGGGAATCACGGGGCACATTCTGCCGAGTTAACGTGATTTTGAAACTCCACCTTGCCTCGTCCTGGCTGGCGAGCGGTCGACCTTCACACTTGCACCGCAACTATTGACGCAAAAGGGGCGGAATTTTTTTTTACGGGAAGTAAAATGGCACCACGCCGATTGCGAGTTGCGGGACGAGCGAAGTCTGACAAAACGCAAACCGGGTGCCGAAAAATGACCAACTCCGGGCTTTGACATGCACACCACGCTCGGCCAACATACAAGGTCAAACCGTTTCAGCTCACTCGAAAAAACACACCTGCTCTGCAGCTGACTCCCAGTGTGTGCAGCGCTAACAGAGTTTCATTAGGAAGATGTTGAATTTAATGCTCTGCCACAGGACACTGCCAAGAATAATGAACAACTATTTGATCGCAGCAGGCAAGATGTAAATCCTAGACGATTGCATCTGTGCCAGTTTTTTTTCCTTACTTTGTTAGCTTACATAATTTTAGCCAATGTCACATCACTAAGGAGACACTGTGGTATGTTTTTCATATTTTTCCCCCCCGAGCCAAAAATGCCTTTGAGAAGCTCCAAACAGGAGTAATGAGTAGCGACAGCCTCATCACTCACTGCTCTGCTGGGTGAAAAAAATATATATTTCTAATGCCACCGCAACTAGTTGTGTGCAAGTTGGAGTTGGGAGGCGTCAAGAGCTGTGTGAGCGGGGTAGGGAGGCAGCGATTGGGTTATAATTCAAACTTGGGCCCCGCTTAGCCTCCCGTAATGAGAAACTCTTACACGAGAGCAAATTCACATGAATTACACGTGGACAGGAACACCACGTGCACAAGAACAAAAAAAAAGGTAAAGGGTCCTGTGTAGCAGGGGAGGACTCTCCACGAGAGATCACCTATTGTTAAGGCTGACATAGTGAGCACGCCTCCCATGTGCACGTGTGTGGACGAGCTCCGGTTTGACAGCAGAAGTCTTACTCCATCTCAATCAGTAGGGCGGCATTATCTTTCAATCGGCTACGCAATGCTGCGTGGAAGCTACCTGGTTTGTCGCTCCGCACAAAGCTTCGGGTCTTTTCGGCCAGTCATGCCCTCCCTTTTATGCTTGTGAAACGTGGACCCCTCTAATGGAACATCTGCGCCAGTTACAAACATTCATGCTGGCATGCCTACTATCCATCCTGGGTTTAACCAAGCTGGATTGTGTGAGCAGCTCACAAATCCTTCAGCGAGCTCTTCTGGCAGGCAAGGCTGCGTTTACGCCCATCGCACACGTAGCGTCTTCCCCAGGTACTCCGGTTTCCTCTTAAATGTATTAAAACGCTCGTTTAAAATGGAAGCTGGCCCAACATAGGACCACAGAGCTTGGGCAAATGTTGGCACCGGTTCTGGTTGCTTTCCTGCTCGTCTGGCTTCCCACGTTGCCACGCAAACTTGTGCACGCTAAATATCCTACAGCGATTTGAAAAGCAATTTGGACCAACGCCGCTATAAAAAAAGCTGATTATTACGTGTGTGTGCACGCATAGCAGTATGAGAAGGGCTGGCAGAGGAAAGAATACTGCTCCCCTACAAAAGGACTAGACACTGCCACTTCTCCCCACCCCCACCACTTTCTCCCACCTCCACATTCCCCATCTCCCTGCAATTTCCCCCCCCACCCTTCCCCCGGTTCCCTCCGGGACACACGGGGAGTTTTAAATGCAGCAATGCTCCGAAGGAGCATTGATAAGTGCCGTGTAATATGCTGCAGGCCACACGATGGGAACTGCCAACTCGCTGCAAAGCGAAAATCCACCTCGGGGCTCCTGGTAGCGGCACGTCGCTAATGGTGCTGTACATCTAAAAAAAAAAAAATACATTTCACACCCCCTTGCACTTCGGAACAATGTGTTAATCACAAGTCACGGCTTGGTGTACACGCCGCTTTGACAGCCAGGGCTCAAGCGCAAGCCTGCTGCTACAAACCTGGCTCGTCCCAGCTGCAGGACGTACTCTACGCACGGCGCGTAAAACGAGACATTGCATTTTCCACGTGCTCCCAAGGCCAGAGCTCAGTTTCAACTATGTGTCTGCATTTAATCACGTCGGCTCCGATTCACGTGTTGGCGGCAGTGGCTCCACAATGGAAATAAATCGTTGGAAATTTTTTTTGCTGAAAATTGGAGGAGCACCCTTTGGGCCAGCACAGTCGTTCTGCCAGGAATTTCAACTCCACCCCACACTGCTCACTTTGTCGGACTCCGTCATGAAGGTGAGCTTCTCGCGCTCCTCCTGGTACGAGGCGCTCAGCACGTTCCCCAGCGACACGTTCTTGAAGCCCTCGGACTGTCGGATGTCGTCGTCTGAAAAGAAAAAAACCGCACACACCCCCCAGACTTAGACGAGCAGGCCGGGTGGGCGGACGGGCGAGCAAGTGCCGAGCTTGCGGGCGCCACGGGTGACGTGGGAGCTGGGGGAAGTGCGCTCGAGTCGGCGAGTGCATTCCAACATGTGTTAAATTCGCGCACGGCTGTGAACAGTGTTTTTCCGCACGCTTCCCCACCAGGAAGCAGATGGGTAAAAAGTAAATTCTTCGTTGGAAATGTTTGGTGGGGGAAAAAAAAATATATATATATATATATACGGAGAGGCTGTTCTCTCAATCATCTTACAAGTCTTCGATCGACATTAGGGCAATACAAAACACTTATTTAGTATCGATTGTAATAATTACCATTGTTACGCTTTCCCGGAGAAAAACCTCACCAGGTTTCATGACTTTGTAGGAGGGTCCTGCCAAGTTTTCGCATTAGGTGATGCTAATGTGTAACCCCACTTGAGCAATTTTAGGTAAATTGTGTTTTTTTATGTGGACCATGAAGCTGGCACACTGTGGCCTACTCTTGTGAATGGCGTTACAGGATCTGTAAAACGTCCATTGCGAAGCAGACTGCGCGTACGTTTACGGTTAATACATGCGCAGCATTTACCAGGGCGGCTGCTGGAAACGAACCGTTAAACTCTGCAACGTTAACCTCTGGAACGCCGCTGCTACCCGCTAGGCCATGTTGCAGCCCCCAGAACGGACAAATGAGAAAAGATTTTCCTCACAAAAAGCCCCAAGACTTTAAACTTAATTCAGCCAGGTCCTGCTCATTTCCAATTCTTGCCCATAGCCATGAGTATTTGGCACGTGGGGGGCACGGAAGACCTAGAGAACCCCCACCCCCCAAAACACACGAGGGGACAGCACCCAGAACTGTAAATCCAAGCCACCTCGCAATCACTCCCAAAACATCTGGCAAGCCCTGGTGGTCATCCATCCAAGTGCTCGAAGTAATGATGGGGTCAGGGGCATTTACAGTTGTATGTTACGAGAAACGTGATCATCTGTCGACACGTACACGGCACGTCAAGTTTGTACGCAGGAGAGCCAGCCGAGAGACACGCTGGTGTTCATTACTCTCTGAGTGGACATCTCATCCGAGCCAAGCCAGTGAGAGCAGAAGTAAACGCCACGAGAGATTCCAGGATATTTTTTATTGGGCAGCGGACAAAAACTAAGTCGTGGAATATTCCCTCTCAACAGCAGCAACAGCGGCTAGTGCTGAAACGCGTCCATTCCTGGTACGTACGGCCAAAAAAATAATAAGTGGCGTTTGTTTAGCAATTACAATAAACAAAACAGCGACAACGTTTGGTTGTAGTCCTGCACACGAACGCCCGCCACTGTTACCGGACAAAGCAACGGAAGGTGAGAAGAGTTCCATCCCCAGTAATTCAGAGCGTGCCGTTTTATGTTATTCTAGTTTGGAGTTTCCATCGCCATGAAGGTCAAATCGTTTAAGCCTTCCCACGCTGCACTCCGCATGGTGCGCGTGACAATCAAACGCTCCACCCTACTAATAGGAGCCCCGCGCATGACTACCACGTGCACGAGTGCACACCGGTGGCGCCGTGGTCTCGGAGAACGTCGTTGAGCAAGAGGCAAGTTGTGTTGTAGCAGCAGGCGCCACCACTTTCATCTCCATTAGAAGAAGTCAAAACAAGAGTGCCGGATGTTTTTTTTTTACAAAATCATAACAGCACGATTTCCTGATTCAAGAGAGCACAAAAAAAACGCAGCACGACTTTCATGCGCGCAAAAAAATAATGTGCCCAACAAAAATGTATTATGCAGTGTGGCTACGACACATTCTCTGCCCCAAACGCCCTTACCTCAAGCACACATTAATGCAGCAACAAGTCACAAGAGCTGGCTTCAAAAACAATTTTCGTAGCAAATGCCGGCCATAATTGCAGAATAATGGGTTGCAACAGAGCAGCCCTTAGATGCTCATTTACATCGCATTACACTGGGAAAAAAAAGACTCAATTCCACTTATTGGCTTGTAAAGCTTGATATGTCGTGCGTGTCAAGAACCGCTCGTTCATCATCATAAAAAAGACGAATTAAAAGAAAATCGTAAACCGTACGTGCCTCAGACAGGGCCGGCCGAGGAGGCAATTACGGCATCCTTTCAAGGCCTGCAAATTTCGCGACAAAAAAAAAAAATCTATACGCGCAAAACCTGGCGTCACCGTCACGCCAACGCAAGGGCAGACGTTTGGCGAGAGGCGCCACCGAGGGGTCGATGGCGGTAAGAGCACGCGGCCGTCGTGCCCGGCGGTCCCCCCCCCACCCCACCAATAAGAACCGCGCGCGGCACAGACGGCGAGCAGTGACACGCGCCAGCCACCTCGGCGCTCCCGGGAAAAACAGCTTTCGCGGCATTGACAAAACAGCGCGTGGGGGAAGTTTAACACGCGCGCGCTCTCTCTCTCTACGCTTCCACAAACGCGTCGGCGGAGAACGGCCGCCCCGGCCTGCCCAACAGGCGTGTGCGCGCGTTGCCGCCGCGGTGCTTACAGGTAGGTGCGTGCGCGCGGGGTGTGGGAATACGGAGAGGTGCTGGGGGACAGGACGTCAAATAACAAACCGCCACGGAAAGTAACACCCCCCCCCCCCCCACCGCATATATTTACCAACACGAGAGCAAGGCGCAAATGTTTATATTGCATTTAAAAAGTACAACAGCTGTCGTGTATATACACAGTAGATTAATGTATACATTACTTGTCTAGCAAAACCTGAGGGTGTTAAACTAATTATTTGGCGATACAGCGCTAGCAGTGGTCAAAAGGCACACAGTTTTAAAAAAGCAACACGAATCAAGAAAACTTCCTTTAAAAAAAAGGAGGAAAATATATAACAGGCAACATTTCTAGAAATCGTGCTCACCAACGAGACCCTCGTTGCCAGCATTAACATGCAAAAACACTACAGGATACGTCCCTTGTGTAGGAAATCAGTTTCAAGGACAAAGTATACATTAAAACATATTTGCTTGCATGTTTTATCACAAGCATGTGTGGTTATCTTCTTGGTTCTTTTGGTAGTCACGTAGAAGGGAAATAATACAACAATAAAAATAAAGCAATAAAATAAAATTATCACGACGTTTCGGCCACAACACAAGCAGCCGGCCTCAGGTGTGGTTAATGCAGACTTCATGGCTTGTAAAAAAAAGGTGTTTACGTGGCGTTTGAGCATCTTAATACCTCCTGTATTATTGCTTGAAAAGGTCAAGCCATTTCTTATTTTATTGCACGCAGCATCGACGTGCTACGTGCCACCTACCCTGGCACACAAGCGCTGTGGTGACATCACCGTCACTTAGTGGCGAACAGCAGCTGTTGCTGTGCGTGTACGCGTGCGCTTGCGCGTATGCACATGAGCGTGTGCGCGTCTCTAGGCGACGTACAGTTGGGGATGTTGATGCCGGCGGGAATGCCGCTGCCCGCAAAGGTGAGCACCTCCAGCGAGGTGAAGTCCGGCTTGAGGAAGCGATCTTTCTCGAACGACGCCGGCCACGGCAGCTGGGGCAGCAGCTCCTCGGCCGAGGCGACCAGCCGGGAGTACTTGGCGCTCATGTCCTTGTTCACCATTGCCACAAAGCCTTTGCGGATGGGGAGGGAGGCCGGCCAAGGTGGAACGCACGCACTCGCGCAGTTAAATGCGGGTCGAGATGTTCAACGAGAATTTCACAGCAGTTTGCGCACGCACGCATGTGCACATGAAACAGTGCTAGTTTTATAACCGCACGACATTGTACACGTGTACAATGCAATACCGTGTTACTATTGTACGCGTATACGTGCAAATGCACACTTGGTCAATCCACTGATGGACGATGTCCTGCCTACGCCGTGTGCGCGTTTGAAAGGTTATTTGGAAAAGCTTCACTACGCTGGTGAGTGCAGGTTTGGTAACTGTGGGGAGCATAGACATGACAAACGATTGTGCTGCACTGCCCTCTTATTACACAACGCAGCACAGCCCTATAGCCACCTGGCATGCACAGCGGTCACCCAGCCCAGAACTACCCAGGCTCAACCCCTGCTTTAGCGTCCAAGAACTGATGAGATTGGATGCACTCCAGGTGATTTGGTCATGACCATCATAATCACGTAAGACAGCGAATTAGCAGGTACTGCTTTCTGTGGTTATGAGGTCTTTTTTATCCAAAACTTTGCAGTGGAACCCAAATTAACAAAATGCAGGCACAATTCCATTTGGCTCAAGTCAGCAATTACAAATGCATTCATTGCGATGGTTTATTTGGCTGTGCTAAGCATGCTTGGCATGGGCCCTGTTCAAGAGCTGGTTCAAAGGCCATCTCAATTACCATGCAGTCGTTGTTGAGACAGTGAGAACATCATCGAGAAACCGAGCATGCAGACAGCAAACCAATTCATTCTACATGCTTGCACGCATTGCTTGGACATCGAGCCTTAAGTCTCGGGTTGCTATTCGTCTAATGGAATTTTGGTAAAATTACTCTCATTTTGCCCATTTGGCAATTTCTGACAAATCAAATGCACCCGGGTGGGTTCAATAGGAACCAGCAATACTCGGTGAAATGCATCGCTGTTATTATTTTAAACTGCCAAGGTCAAAGGGGGTTAAACAGACGGATAAAATCACCACCGGCGTAGCAATAAAGCAAGCAAATTGCATTGCGCGGTCGTCTCGTCTCCAAAATACACGCACAAGCGTGGCAAACTCGTCCCCCATCCGTTGTCGTTTATCGATAAAAATAAAAACCACCTTTGGCCCGCCTGCCACCAGTTATCGCGAGGGAAGGCGTAAAGGCTACATTAATGAAAACTAAATATTACGGCTCTGACACAACCTGACATTTCGGCGATCACTCCTCCCCGCAGCTGATCGACAACTTGACAAATGCAAAGCTGTGGCCGAGTCCGTGAGGCATCATTGCAAGCAAAAAAAAAATACACGCTGTCTGCCAATACATTTCTGACGAAGCTGGTTATATGGTACAATAAAATACAAACTAATTCAAAAAAGCTATCAGGTGGTGGCTCAGGGAACTATTGATAATGCGAGAGCAGAGCCCACACTGAAAAGGAGCCTAGATTCAGCTGCCAGTGATTCAAGCGGGTTCAAGTCCAGTGAGTTGGTCTCAGCCTAGTTACCGACAACCGTACAAAAAAAATTGGTCCGTTAAATTTAGGCAAAAGGATTTAAACTTTTTTTAATCAAATTGACAAAAGGTGAACTTGTATGTGTCCATTGCATGGCATATAAAATGGTATCCCAAACAGGCACCATGAGGCTAACCCGAAGGTCAAATCACAAAGTCGTTTTCAATGTCAATTACTGGGGAGGGCCTTTCTGCAACACGAGGTACTGGTGGCAAGGCAAAGGTTCCGAACGGAAAAGTTCGTCATCCTCATAACAGGATGCAGTGAGCACATTTAAAACAAAGTATGAAATGACGGAGATGTAGCGTCGCGCCGGAAATACCTTCAAATTCACCGCGAGAACCGAAAGGGTCCCTGTAGCTTTCAATGAATCCGATGTAACTGCAACAAAAAATCAGAGGTCATCAGTTCAGTGATAATGGAACTGCTGCTCTATTGTCCTTGTTTTTTCTGCATATAATGCAGACATTACATTTTTTTAAAAATAAAGCTTTATGTAACAATTCACAAGCCCGATACAGACAGTCTTGTATTCCAGTTGAAGGATCTCCCGTCGCAAAAAGTAGACCCGACGCAACCAAGCTGTGTTACAGAGGAGGAGGAGGGGGGGGGTAGAGGGGTGACGGGGTAGGGCCCGCATTGCAGACCATTTTTTATGAATATTCAACTAATTTCGTTGATGTTTAACTTTTAATGCCATCAACAAAAAGCAGCTGCAGTGAAAACGCAAGAACCCGAGGTCTAACTTGCGTGGGCCAAAATCCAGAAAAACAGCAACAGACAACGTTTTGCTAATGCCGGCAATTTCCTGCAGAAAATGTGGAAAATCTGGTTACCCCCCCCTCCAGGAAGCAGACTGCCCATCCAAGCAAAGTTACAGTTTCAAAGTGAAAAAAAAAACATAACATACATCGGACTACCGTTCACATTCATCTCCGTAATAATCACGTTTATCTTGATAAAATGAATACTACTAATAGGGAATGCAAATGTGGGGACGCTCTGGCCGGCACGCACCTCTCCACGATGGGGCCCTTGTCCTTGATCCAGTGGCTGGAGCCGCGCTTGTGCGCGTCAATGGAGCCGTAGGTGAAGCTGTCGATGTAACCCGCCAGCATGCCCACCTCGTGCTCGTTGGCTGCACACTCCTGCAAAGGGGACCGCACAACGCCATGGTCGGTCAGCGCCCACCCTCGCCCATCGTCAGTTGTCCACCACGATCGAGCCACTGCCGAATTAACGCTTCCATAGCCATTGACGCGTCCTCAGTCTTGCGATGGAAACGATCCACCTGGCACCTGAGCAGGAGTCGATTTTAATCGTGCCACCTCCACGCTGGAGGTGCCGACTTCTCCTTGCCTGCTAGTCAAGTAGAGACCACCACAAATTATTCCTTTTAGGGACGTGTCCTAAAAAACAACCCACTTGCTTTAGTTAAAGTAATTATTTAAAAAATTGCCATGCGTTCTCGAATGCACGTGTTCCTCCGTGTCTCAACATAATTCCAACAAGCACCTCTCAATGCATATTTTTTTATACACATTCTAGAAAGTTGTTGACGCTCTTCCACGGAACTATGGGACGAGTCGTTGGTTTCCAAGCCCTGGGATTGTGGTTTACTTCCAGAACCAGTCATTTTATTCTGCCATGAAAAAAGTTCCAGGATTTTGAACATAAATTTTAGACACGCAAAAGATGTAGGCGATTGTTAGCATCACCATGCCGTATGTGGCTTTTAGCAGGTTTACATTATGTCTGGCAATTAAAACTGTAATCCACCGAGAAATAATTTGTCCACACAAAAAAGAATCTCTTAAAATACTGCTGTCCCGGACGTAATCAAACTGACATTTCCATCCACACTGGGACGTGATGGTGCAATTCAGTGTAATGTACGTGTAAACCAATCACTCACTCTATGAGCCACATTTTAAAAAAAGTGATAATTTTTACATTTCACGACACCCATATTTATTTTTAAAACGACTAAGCTTATCTGCAAGGTTTCCAAATTTGCGAAGCTGGCCAATTGCAATTAACGTAGCACATTTTACTTCTGGAAGCCTCCTGCTTAGACAAGCAAGGGAAGCAGCCCGAGCCTCTGCTTACAGCTCCAACCCAGATGGACACAGTACATTCCTATGGCAGAGATGAATAATTCGACAGACTTCTGTTGACACAAAGCACTGCTTGTTTATTAACCCTACACAAAAGGGCCAAGTTGACCTCAGCGATTTCAGCTAACCACCTCCTGACCGAATAATGCACTCTTAAGCACTGTAGTAATTGAGCAAACAATTGGGGGTTGTTCAAGCCGTTGTGACACCGTACAACCGTGGAGTTTGTACAAAGTGCGAGAACCCTGTACTACAGAAGATCCCTAAACGTTACAAAGACCCTTCCCTTGTACGAGGCAATGCAATGTGGTGTTAAATGTCACACCAGTGTTCAACCACCACCACCACCACATTGCAGGTCAAAAACACACTTCCGTCTGTGCCTTCCCTCCCACTGCTCCCCGAGACGCATTTCCTCCCCCCCCCCCATCACCATTTCCCCCGCTCCGCCACGCTCTTATAACCTCACTATTCACGAAAACATTTCAACTCTTTTCTGTTGCTGCTTTGAAAGCCCACTTGGTCTTTTCTACCTTTGCGCCTGTGCTTAGCAACTGCGTTCAACAATTGAATGTTTTCAAAACACTGCAGTCAATGCGGATGAATAGGCAGGATTCAACCCACACATTCCCATAATACAATGCCGATTGCGATGTTGCTGCAGTAAGTACTGACAAGGTCGCCTTCATGCGCGGGACCTAAAGTTATCAAGGCCCGCCATGAATGCTACAGAGCTAGTTAACCCGACTGCGCAGAATGTTTGCATTTGTGAACAAAATCTCAAGTTCGTGTACTGACAGCGAGCAGAAGTTAAGAGAACATACTTACCAGTCACGTAAACCACCATTAAAAAGGTCACAAACAATATTGCGATAAGCTAAACAGCTATTGACGGATATTTTTTTAAAATACAACCAGTTGTGTTACAGCGGAAGGGCTCTGTCAGTCCAGCCGCTGTGGGCATGTTTGGAACATAGCAGGATCTATTACAGACCAATTAATGTACTACAATGCAATGACAATACTAATTATTATTTATTTAACCAGCAAATAGACAATTAAATCTAAATATTTTTCAGGAGAATTTTGGCCAACACCGATTAACATTACATATTTTTAGCTTTGGGAGGAAAGCGGACAAAACTCATGGATAACAAACTAACACCACACAGACGCCTGAGCAGCAATCAAACCCAGATATTTCTTGTTACAAGGAACTACTGTTACCATTGTGTTGTGCTGCAACCCCAGATCCGAAATGGATCTCAAGAACCGCTGTAAAGAAAGATGAGATGTATTTATCGTAGAAGGGGTGGTCGGTCCACAGGCAGAGGCAAAAAGAGCATCTCGCATCCACCCCTCCCCAAATTTCTACTCCTCACATGTCTGTGGCACGAGCAAGCGTGGCCATTTATGGTTTCAAGAAGCTTCAATATGAACGAGATCGTTGGGAACCGTCAGCGCAATTTCGAGGCGAGCAGGCAGCAGCACCGGTCATTTGTACCAATGTGCATTACACTCAAATGCTGCAAGCAAGTACAATCAAGACACACGATGATGACACCGAATGTTTTAGTTTTTCCACAGATCTCTGTTACGCAGCTCTCGCTTTCCTCTATCTCAAGAGCCAATTGGCTCTGCGTCCCAGTGGAAGGCTTCTTAAATTCAAGTCTTTGGGTGGCCGGTTAGATGGGCGAGGGCTGACATCAACAAGACGTTGGGTTTAAAGTGTGGCAAACTGGTTGTCTCGGCCTGACTGCCTGTGCTATCATCGACTCACGATGAGAGCACAGGCAATCCCCCATCACGGTTCAATTGCGTCCGAGTTAATTCAGCAAATTACAGACTCCGTTATATTGGCTTGCTTTGCCATGTGACGATTCCTATATGAAGACTCGCCACCTAATATGGTTAAGTGGCAATGGAGACGACCACGGCAATTGGCATACAAAACAGCAAAACTGCGCACTCTTGCAGAATAATTAAAACAAATCGTGCAGCTCAGTGCAAACTAACGTGGTAATCATTCAAAATTTTAATTATGGCACATTTCCACTTAAATTGTTTCGGGTGGCACTGACATTTTTATTATTACGCGAGGCCGATGGAGGAAATTGATATACAAACACTCGGCTGCAATAACAAAAATGTCTAAAAGGTGTCAGAAGTTGAAATAATGTGTCGCTTGTGTTTTAGTAGCTATTTATTTATTAATATCCCCACACTCGGCCAGGCATTTCAAGCCAGAGGCATCAAACGTCCCTGGGTCGTTGCTTCGCGAGCTGCTAGAGCGGAAATTTCCATTACCGCGGCGTCAATTTTTGGCGTCAGGTATTAAACGCCGTGAACGACGGCGCGTTTTAAATGCGCTGCGGACGAAACGAGTCGCATCTCGAGGGAGCGAAGGAGCACGCCGGTTACATGCGGCACTCCGCGCTGCCACGATACGGTCTACGCTATCGGACGTTCGCTCGAGACGCCGCGAGCTCTCGCGCCGCTTCACAGCTGCACGACTTCGACGCGCAACGCCCCTCGGCAAGGCCCGCGAGCAACGGTACACACACACACACGTACGTCGAACTTCTTTGGCACCGCATTTAGCCAACCGTCCAAAAAATCGGAGGTGCAGGGGAAGGACAAACTGAAGACCAAAAAGCAGCAATGGTCTCCACGCAGCGCACTTCACAAAGTCGTCCACCCCGTGCCACCCACAATGCTTCAATTTCGTACCAGCAACACGAGGCTGCGTGCAACGCAAATTACGTAACTTGGCTGCGTGCTACGCAAATTACGTAACTTATCATGCAAATATCTTCGTTGCCATCGGCATAATACTGATATTTAATAGTACGTTGTTGGCAAAATTACTAGTTACGTTATGTATTGTGTCATGAATGACATATATACACACACACACTTGTAGCATGGATAGTGTGTGTTACGCGCTTCATTACTCAGTCGGCAGCAAGCTTACAAGAGCAGCACATGTTATTGCTGCCTTAGCGGCTCATTGAACACGGCCGCACACAAAAAAACATCTCGCAGCCAAATCTATTTCCACCCCCCCCCCCCAGTGTGAAATAGTGATGGAGCTATGCGAGTGGCGTACCAGAGTAGTTGTTAACGCAGCGCAGCTCGCTGCACGCTTGGGGCACGGAAGTGCAACGGCACCACCTTCTCACAGCCTCCGCCATTACATTTCTCGTGCACCAAAACAATCGTCGGCTCGGAGCCAACGCCATTGGATGGCTAAAAGAAGCTGGACGCAAATTCATGACGCTCCTTCCCGTTGCAAAACGGCAGTTGCGCATCTCGACAACCACACCACGAGAGAGACCGCCACTGGATTCCATCGCTGCTGTGCGAGTGCTGGCCATGAAACGCGCACGTGCATTACGCCATCGTTCTTTTCCCCTTCACTTTGAATTTGTGAAAAATTGTTTAACACCTCATCGTTTGTCGTCTTACTGCACTGTCTTCAGAAGCTGCCATTTATCAAGTTGCATTATTTATTGTTAGACTATAAAAAATTTAAACCCATCATGTGCATATATATTTTTTCAACAATTGTTATGGCTTTGGGCACTTTATTGCTCTTTGTTTTCATTAGTTTTTCTGTGCAGCACTTTTAAGGCAATATTATTGCGGTAAGGTGCTGCGCTCTATACAAAAGTAAACAGATTGAATTAGATAACGGCTGGTTGCATCGAAACACCTTTAAGTGTTTTTAATGGTCTTAACTTGCACAGCTCTACAGAGCATACAAAGGCACCTCCACTGAGCTTCTTAAACCAGCCGTCGGGGGATGGGCCGCAGAGCCTTTTGACCACGCAATGCGGTCAGGACACGCGGGGGGGGGGTGGGGGGTAAACATCTCTTCACAACGCCGTTGAAAATTGGCAGTCGTGGCCAATGTGCGAACAACAGTGCCATCACATAGCCCACACAGTGGGTGGATCGCGAGCAGTGGAGGGGGGAAGAGACATCAACAGGACTGGAGTGTGCAGCGACTCCTCACCTTGGCCTTCTGCAGGTTCTCCACGACCTTCGTCAACAGGGGACTGTAGTCTCCACGTGTCACCTTGAACACCGTGCCTTCAAACTCGTACTGACCGCACTTGTTCTCCTTCTCTCCCTCCACTGGCTTGTCTGGGGGAGTAGACACGAGGAGAGCACAGCAGAGAGTGAGAAAGGCGCACAGTGACAACACACTTCAAGGCACCGGGGCCTGCTCACGACTCGCCAGCCTTCTTGCCCCATCGTTGTTCAAAGACTTCTTGATTCATGGCCATGAGCCAAAGATCAATTCTCTGTAATCGTATATTGTCCAAGTTGTTGATCCAATCTCATTGCTTAATCCTCCATTTGGTCCATTCACAGAAGTTTCAATCGCATTTGCAATAATTGTAAATAAACAATCCTTACGAGCTAGATTTCATGCACGTCTCGAGCGTAAAAAATCGATTTTAATTGCCAACACGATAAAGCCCTAAACTAGGTGAGAATTCCACATTCGTATGGAAGGGATAGTCTATCATAGGACCACCACACCAGTGACTTCCTAACAATTTGGTACTCGGCCGATCACAGCGCAGTGTCTCTGGGAGGATGCGCAATGTGACGACTCTGGGGACACGTGGCACGTCCTAACCTTGCTTGACGATGGACGCCTGGCGGACCTCGTACTCCACGCCGCCATCGCTCGCCACAGTCTTGAAGAGCCGCGTGTTGTACGCGCTGATGCCCTGCGAGAACAAAACAAAATCGGGTGCAGCGGCGGAGACGGGGATTGTCCATTACGTCGACTCAACTGAACATTTACAATGCACTGCTCATTGTGGGCCCGTTTAAAACACAGCGGCTTCCGCCCCATTCGACCGCATGAAGGTGGGAACCCCCCCCCCCACCCCCCCCCCACCCCCCCCCCCACCCCCCCAATCAAGCCACGTCAAGAGTGCCGCGGCTGGTGACGCCACCAACCAGTGCCCTTCACCTCCCGTCCAGCATCACGCGTGGAAACGGAGGCGGGGCTTTTATTTCCAACCATGTTAAGATTACTCAAGTAACCGAATCGTTGAAGAAGAGTAAATCGATCATTTAAATAAATTGGATGAACCAGCTCTTGCTGCAACCCAAGACTCTACCACAAATGTTTGTACCCGTCCCGCTCTCAAAAAGTACACCTCGTTATTAGCAAAAGAATGACACAGCCTCTCCACTCCGTGCAGGTCATGCCAAGTATTTGGCCATATTTTACCACTTTGGTCACTGTCGCTTGGTGAAGGGGGGGGGGGGGGGGGGGAGTGCCTAGGAACAGATCAGGTATCACGCATCACCAATGTTCGCCATGGTTGGGAATCAAACTCAGGAAAACAGGTTCACAGCAATGCAAAGCACTGCACCGCTGGTAGAGAACTCAACTTTAAAACATAACCCAAGGACGAGTGTATTTAATGCGCTGGTCTTCAGAGATTAGGCCATGCCAATTAGCATGCACAACATTACACAGACGACCAACATTTCAGGAGACGTATATCGTTTACATACATTTTTATACTATCCATCATTCGTATCACGCTCGTTTACCCAGGAAAATCTCACGAGTCAAGACTATTAGGGAGGGTTTCTAAACCATCCATAATACATGTTTTTTTTAGGTTAGATCGCGTAAATATATAAATGTGTCGTTAAACCCACCACCACCCGACACAGCCAATTAGTAAGGGTTGTCACAAACAAAACATGCCAATTTGTTACTAGTGCAGCACACCGGTGTGTCTCCGGTGTGGTGCACTAGTAACGAATTGGCATATGTTAAACTTTCTAAAACATTCGAAGTGGGGTACGATGTTTGTGTGTGTGCGCAATCCCAATTGAGTAACTTGCAGGTAATCTTTCAGGTATTGAGACGTTTGTTTGGCCAATACCAATAACAAGTTATTTTTTAAGCTTTGGGAGAAAACTAAAAGAAACCGGAAGAAACCCTTGCAGAACAGAGGAGAATATACAAACTCCACTCAGAAATCCGCCCGAGCTAGGAATTGAACACAGAAATATTTTTGTGGTGAGACAAGTGTTTCAATTACGCCAGTCTTTCAGAGCATCTACCACTCAGGAAGACGAGTTCCTAAAACGAATGCTTTACAATATGTCATGTTATAGAGGCAGCGTTAATGCTCATGTTTATAATACAATTAGCCAAGGATTGCACTTATTTTCGCTTATCTGGAACGTCGCTTAATGCCCAAAGTGCTGAAATGCTCAAATGTTTAATTGCAAGAAGCTCAAAAACCGTGGCAGACGCAAGTCGACAACCTAACGGCAATTAAAAACACAAGCTCGCGCGCAGTCACGGGGGGGGGGGGGGGGGGGGGGGGCAACATCCAACCATCGCAAGCGACTCACGCCAAATTACATACAAACGAGCAGCAATCGTCGCAGACAGCTTGTGAACGATCGTTTGTGATGCCAACATTTAAATTCTCCTAAATTAGGCGCGATAGCAAATTATATTTGCATTACAGCAGGTCTGCTTTTGAGGAATTAATCTAATTTAGATTTCAAATTATAGCCGGCAAAACATTAATTCCCTCCACGCAGCCCGCAGCCTCGCTCCTAGTGGAGCAGGAGGAAGGAGTGCTCGCGGTTTGCCGACAGGACAATAATCCCATGTCAACTAAACTAAAAAAAACCCCATCACAATAATTGAAAATCCAAGCCATTTCACTTTATCGGCGAGGCTATTCGTTTCTAAAGGAGGTACTTTTCCTCTTGCGTTTCCACCCTCCCACTCCCGAGGGCACAAAGACTTCTGCAGTGCACAAAAACGACCACCCCCCCCCCCCCTTACCTTTTCATCAAGGAACTTCTGCACAAGCTCCGCGTCCGCCATCGTGCAGTTCCCAGAGAAATACGACGAGATCCCCTAGGGCGAGAGCACGGGAAGGGCACGCTGCGCATTACGGGGTGCCACGGTGACAATACATTTCACTACCTTGTCTGGTGTGCAGGAGGTCGTGGGTTCGATCCCGACTCCAGTATATTTGGAGTTTGTACATTTCTCCCCGTGGTCGTGGATTTATAATAAAAATAATAGCGACTTGGATGCTGCACAATAACAACATGTGGGTGACCAATTCCGTCAAAATCCTTGCAAAGAAAATGCAATGCCGCAGAAGCCTGTGCCAAGCAATGGTTCCGAAAGCTCAATACCAAAAAAGGAATCGTCTTAACAACTTCAGAAGGAACCCAAAATTGGTTCCTTGCGGTCACAAAGCAACTCGGTCCACCGAGACATCCCTCTACAGCAAACAAATGCACGTCATCCGATGCTCACACGGAGAATACGCGACGCCGAAGTTGGCGACAAAACCGCCAGAAAAAAAATGTACGCGGTTCGGCGGAATAGAACAAAGCGGCGCAAAAAAAAAACCCGATGACACGGCCCTGGCAATTGTGTGCACCTTGGTGCCGAGGCCGAGCTGGCACTCTCCCGGCGCCAGCGAATACATGGGGCCGCTGCACTCCTGCCACAGCGCCTTCATCTCCTCCGCGTTCTTCTCACACGCTGCCGAGGCCAGCACCAGCTTCTCCAGCTTGTCCTGTGGCGACACCAAGCGCGATGTTTGGTAAAAAGGTGCAACCCTGCAGTTACTTGCTCACGCCACAACGCTGGCCACACATCTCGGAAGAGGTGGAAGTGACCCCCACGCCATACCTTACTCAACCTGCCGATCGACGAACTGTGGTGCAGCCATTTACACCATTGGGCGCACCGAGCTGGGGGTTGGGATTTAAGAAACATGCCCATTGTACAATGTATGTTTAACTATAAAACACGAATTGCCGAAGTGAAAAACATTGCAAGCTGTAAAATAATAAAATTTTGCTCTTCATTAGAAATAACAGGGTTTTACCACGAAAAAACAGACACTGTACCAGTTTGTACGGTACTGCTATTTGTGTAGAGGAGTATTGTAACCAATGAGGGGGCGAGCAGAGGGAGGTGCGAGCGGGTTGCCAATCAAGAATGACGTAACGTCACGGTTTGCGGAACGGTATTTGGAGAGCACCTTCGGGAACATGGGCGGAGCCAAGCTGGGGGGGAGGAGCCGAGCTAGGGGGAGGAGCCGCCAAAAGGGTTCTTAAGGAGGGCCCTGTGACGGAGGCGTGGTCGTCATAGGGAGCCAGGGTAAGGATCGGCTGGGAGAGGGTCTCTCTCCATCGTTGCGGAGCGGTGTTGGCTGAACCCCCACTCCGGGCAGACGAGTGGGAGAGCCAAGGGGATAGCCGAGGGTAGGGTCCGCAGGTGTTGGGTAAATGGTCAGCCTGAAGAGGGTCCATCTCTCCTCGTCGCGGAGCGGTATTGGCTGAACCGCCGCTCCGGCGGACGAGTGAGAGAGCCCATAGCGGAGCCGAGGGTAGGACCCAAATAGTATTCAGTGTCCGGGGTAAAGGACCGTGAGAGGGTGCACCTACACTGGTGTGAGTGTAGGATGTCGAGTGTAACAATGTTTTAATAAACAGCAAAAGCCCTTATAGAATTCCTCATCTCCGCGTGGTTCGACTGCACTACATTTGCATAGAACGAGGTCCCCCCCATAGCTGATATGGAGTGCTATTTCGCAATTGAAAACGAATTTGTCTACTCGATGGGCTTGGTCCAAACATAAATGGCCTGCTCGACTGACAGTTGAGAAACATGGTTTAAAAATCGAATACCGGAACGCTGCCGCATTCACTCAGGTGATGAAACAGGGGTGCGGCCTCCCCAGAGCTGACGAGCGAAATGTTCCCATTGACAAGTGGCCAACAGTAATATATCACATGACGGCGTGCGCAGCTAGCGGACTGGTGGCTTCGCAAGATGAAACAGGAAGGATCCAACGCAAATATGTAAATTGCTGGAATAGGGCTGCGATCATTGCCTCATTAGCGTCTCACAGATGTGTGGCAAGCACAAGCCGTTAACGAGACACTAATTGCAGAGTACCTTTTCCCAGGAGCTCCAAGACCTAAGCATTGGGCAAACACTGCGCGATTGTGATATAAATCATAACCAGGAGATGTTCATTGTCAACAAAATGCAAGTCTTTGTTTTCAGCCTGCAAAACGCAATGGGTGTACACAATCTAAACATTTAAAATTAATTCAATGCAATATTTGTAGTTAGGGTGCATTTGAAAAGTTTTAACAAGTTGTCAAGTGTGGTTCCAAGGTATACAATTATTGGGTTGCTCTATTGACAAAGCAGTTCTAGAATTCAGAAAGCCTATATAACGTGGAATATTTACACCAATTGTATGGCTGTACGCAACCAAGCACAAATAATTTGAAAAGTAACTTTGTTCCATTTACATTTTCTAAACAAAGACCTCTAATGTCGACGCAACTGAACAAATGCATTTAACCAAACCTTAGTCACTGCAGGCACAAATTTGGTGTCTCCGAAGGACTTGTAGTTCCCCATGTTGTCGTAGACACCGGCGGCGTACACCAGAAAACTCTGCAAGAAGTGCAACATGGTCACACACACGAGCCACGCACGCGAGCTAGCTTAGGGGCCATCCATTTATCACGTACGCATGTAAGGGGGAGGGGGGGTTAACTCAAATGCGTACGCTTACGTATGGGGGGGTGGGGGTCGACTGACAATGTACGTACGCATAGGAAACGGGGGGGGGGGGGGTGAAGCCTCGATAATAATTTGTCTACATTGGCCTTCTAATGAGTTAGATAGTGCGGCGGTGGATTGTTTGCTTAAAAACGTTAATATTATTCATCCTTGATAGTTTCTGCGTGGATTAAATAAATCGGTCGTTCTATAGGATTCTAAAATGGATGGCCCCTTACCAACCGCGCAGACCGTTCCGGCAAATGCGACCTCAACGGCAGCCGAAACAAATGTTTTAAGAGACTACAGCTCCACATAGAAAATTAAAGCAAGTTTCAAGTTGACTTTCACCAGGGTGAGACTTTGAGGGACCAAGAAAGTCTCATATGCAAGGGTGAACCTGCGGCTTCAATTTGCCAGAAGGGGGTAAACGATTGCGGCCGTGTATAACCACACTTGAGCAATACGCGTTTAATGTTCGACATCGGAAATTTGGACCAAGACGCCGGAACACAATGGCCTCTTGCAAATGACAATATGGGGATCTTTAACGTCCACTGTTAAGCACAGTGTTATTGTTATGGTTATTACACACGGCAATAATAAAAAAAAAAATCGGGATAGTCGCTGGATTTGAACCGGGAACCTCTTACAAGGGTCCGAAATGTTTGAACAAAAGGTCTGTAGAGTTCTTAAATAGCGGCTTTACATCATCAACAACGCTACAATGTGCAGACACCTTCAGGGTGGCAAATAAAATTTGATTGTGGATTGCCGGGTGAACCGAGCCACGGGAGATTTCCTAACTTGGCCATGTTTCACCTCTGTTTAAATATAAATAATGGTATTTTTGGGAGAAGTTTTGGGGGAATGAAAGACTTTAACAGAAAGGGTCACAAATGAAGCAAATGTGAGATTAAAGTCTATCAGATTTCTGAGAAGTGGCCATATGTAGATGCTATATAAACACTATGGGTGCGGACATCACCCGCCGTTATGCAGCTATGCACCGAAACCCAGCACAGGTAGCGATTTTCAGATCAACACAGTAGCTCAGAGATCCCAGAGCATTATAGCTTGTATATAAATCATCGATAAGAGACCCAACTCCTTTCTAAACGAGCGCATGTCTACGAGGTGGAGGGTCAAGCTACGAATTTCAAGGTGCCCCCCCTCAGCTCCCCCCCCCCCCACGTCATAAAGGCGAGTCGTGACAAAAAAAACAGTCACAACGAAGACGATCACTCTGATACAGCGATGTGCGAGCCGAGCTTCAAGGAAGACAAACAGCTGTCATCATCTTGTACAATTCAAGTCACGCTCGCATGAATTTCAGGAATCCGACGACAGCGCCCTCTAGTGCAATCAGTTGAGCATGACTGTCCTACAATATTAATAAACCCACGTACAAGTCCTACAAATTTATTTAAAAACGGTCACAGCACCACAGCCACTGCATTGTGGGAGCTGACAAGGGTGCATTATTGAAGCCAGCCACGTTTACACCAGTGGAAGTCGGCGCGTGCCAGGAAGCTAATCCCACAATGACTATGCTCCATACCAGGGACTGGAAAGACACCGTTTCGGAGTTGAATGTTATCACTCTGTGTTGTACGTGTGGCTGTGGAATAGAATGAAAGTACCACGGCGCCATGGTGCGATGTTGTCTTCATAACATAAAGCTGCTCCCAAATCTGTGTTTATGGGCTGTGTCAAGAGCATGAACTCATCCACTCCTCCCAAACAAGTGATCGCAGAGCCACACAAACAATGTATTTGTTTGTGTGGCTCCCCAGTGGCGAGGTTTACACACCACACCAGGTACTAATTTGAGGCCGAGTCGACATAGGGGAGGCCCATGACCAGTTCAGATAATCGTCACTGTGTTGGCCGTGAGCGGGAATAAAACTCGGGTGGCTGGGTTAGTAGTAGCAGAAGGCGCTAACCACTCCCCACACCGACAGAGCAACTCCCACACACACACACCTGGTACTCGTCGGCGGACAGCCCGAGGCGCGTGGCCAGCTCGCCCAGCTCAGCGGGGCCCTGCGCACGGAAGAGGCGCTGCAGCAGCGCGTAGAGCGCCGGCGACTCGGGCGACGTCTGCAGCAGCACGACCAGCCCGCCGTACCAGGCGGCACGCGACAGGTAGTGCGCGTACTGGCGCTCGCGCGCCGACAGCAGCTCGAAGGCGGCGCGGCACTCCAGCGGCACCACGCTCACCCTGTTGGGCAGGATGAACTGCGGGTCCACGGTGGCGGCGGTTCCCGACATTTTTCGGCCTGCGACGTCGGTATCAGGGGGAAGAGGACGGGGGAAAGGCGGCGCAGCGGTCGAGCGCGTTAGCCAGCGAGTCTCGAGACCCAACCAGAGTAATGTCTACGTGCCATATCCTTTTTCTCAAAAGGACCCCGACAATCACGGGCTTCCTTCCATTTAGCTCTGCCCATGATATTTACTCAATAACTATGCATTGGACACTGCCAGTACCAATACGTTCATATCCAGTCTCTCGTTTTCTCATTGCATCTCCATAAATTCTAACTTGCCTACTCCAATTGTTCCTGTTAACTTTCTTCGTGTACCTGGTGTGTGTAATAATACATTTATCTTACTCATTTTGGACCGTCAATGAAATGTGTAACACCCTCCTTAAAAAGCTCATCTTTTTCTTCTAGCTTGCCTCTCCGGGTCTTGTTAATAGTGCAGATTTCTCATCCATATTAGTAACCCCGTGTGTTAAGAGTCAGTATTCTAATTGTCGTCAATTAAGTTTTAACACAGATCCCATCTTCGAAAACACAGCTGTTGCCAGTGCTATTCTCATTTGTCTTGGATGTACCTTCCATCTTTACGGTGTTCATGCTACCTCGTTACAGTGCTCCAGGCGATTCATGTTTGATGTCGCCGACTTGAACTTGAGCTTATTTATTGCGACCATACATAATGGTTTCGTAGACTGTCAATCTTTTTTAAAAAATTAAATGTAATTCAGCGCATTTTGCAAATCCTTCTCAGAATTTGCAACGATATCCGCATGTCTCTGGCTATTGAATTTTGTAACCACTAACCTTAATGTAATGAATGTTGTGTATGGTTCACGTGACTCTATAGCTATTGTCATATACGTACATATGTCAAGACCGATACACTACTGCGCCTTGTTTTAAGCAGTAGTAAAGTATCTTACGAACACGGTGGTACAATCCACTGCTGGATGAGGGCCCTCCCCACACCTTGCGGGTCGTGGCAGCTACAGGACCATACTTCATCCTTCTGGTCAGTGCGGGTTGGTTAAGTCGGACGAGGGAGTGAGAGGAGGGGGGGTATAGAAGTGCCGTACAACAGTGCAGTTTGCTGCTGCTGCCAACCCCGCGTGATCGCAGCGCAAGTTTCAGGAGCTCGAGGCCAAAGTGGAGGGTCTTGCCAGCCACGGAGGGCTTCTCGCGTGCGTCCTGTATGTTGAACTTCTTTCGCGCCGTACGTAGCCGACCGTGCTGATCGGAGGTGCGGCTCCACGCGCGTTTGTTACGCGTTCTCGTGTCAGCGTCAAATACAACCCGAGAATACCCTCATGGGCGGCGTTTACTCGAATCCGATCAACAGATGCATGCCGACAAAGCCCAATGTTAAGCGCCCGCATCCCATCGGGACAAGTTCGTTCTCGGTGCGTGCGTCCACCCCCGTCAACCCCTCGTCAGTGCCCTGCCGTACACACTACAGACCCATTCCAGAACTTGCTGGTCACCCCGTGCCCCTTACACATCTCAACGTGCATCCTGCAAAGCCCCATCACTAGGGAGAAACACAAACTTGTACATAGTTTGCGGGTATCGAACCGGCTGTGTGCGCCGTATGGCCCCTCACGATGTCCTTGGACAAGCACGCGGCCCAAACCCGAGTGGGTCGACGGCTGCGCCCGCACCTCCGTTTGGCGTGCGGTGCGAAAGAAGTTTAACAAACTGTACATTAAACACACGCACAAACCCCCCCCCCCCCCCCCCCCCCCCCCAACTTACAATTTAACGACTCCCAGATCTCAACGACAACAAGAGCTGCAGCTGTGGCCAGACACCGCGGGGTATAATAAACACAAACACCTCTCCCCTGGACTCGCACGGCCGGCCCACCTCGCGAGACTGCGGCAGCGTTGGAGAGGGACCACAGTACTACTACTAAAAAAAATCTACGAGCGAAGGGCTTCGCTTGGACACGATTTAAAAAAGAAAGTAAATTAAAAGACACGCGGATCGCGTAAAAAGCAAAAATGTTGTTTGTTTACGCTCAAATCAAAGTTGATAAAGGCGACGTCGTAGCGGCCGCGGGCCGCATCCGCGCTATCGTTTCTAGCGAGTCGCGCCGGCGCGGGTCACGTGCGGTGCGCTCGGCCAATCGCGAGGAAGCTCCCCGCCGTGCCGAAGCGCGCTGCGATTTCTAAACCGGCGTCGGCCTTCATTTGGCGGCGCGTTAATGAAGTTGTCGCGGTGGACGAGGTGGAGGTGGGAGGAGGTGAAGGAGGTGGACGAGGAGGCGGTGGCGATGTGGAGGCACCACGTACCTGTAAGGTGAGGGGGTGTGTGAGACGAAGGCCAAGGAGACGGAAGTCTGAGAGCACGCGGAGTGAATGGTCCAGCGGTGTGGGGGCCCGGCTTTAATGGGGGAGGGGCGGGGCGAGTGGGGGGGGGGCGCCTCGAGGACCCCGCGCAGAGCCCGGGCGGGGCTGCCCGCGCAGCTGCCTGAATCAATAAACAACGACAACCCGTGACCCACGTGCTGCAGGTGTTTGGTGATGGTGCTGGAGGTGTTTGGTGATGAAGGTGTTTGGTGATGGTGCTGCAGGTGTTTGGTGACGGCGCCGCCTGGAGGTGTTTGGTGATGAAGGTGTTTGGTGATGGTGCTGCAGGTGTTTGGTGACGGCGCCGCAGGTGTTTGGTGATGGTGCTGGAGGTGTTTGGTGATGGTGCTGGAGGTGTTTGGTGATGGTGCTGGAGGTGTTTGGTGATGGTGCTGGAGGTGTTTGGTGCTGGAGGTGTTTGGTGATGGTGCTGGAGGTGTTTGGTGATGGTGCTGGAGGTGTTTGGTGATGAAGGTGTTTGGTGATGGTGCTGGAGGTGTTTGGTGATGGTGCTGGAGGTGTTTGGTGATGGAGGTGTTTGGTGATGGAGGTGTTTGGTGATGGAGGTGTTTGGTGATGGTGCTGCAGGTGTTTGGTGATGGTGCTGGAGGTGTTTGGTGATGGAGGTGTTTGGTGATGGTGCTGGAGGTGTTTGGTGATGGTGCTGGAGGTGTTTGGTGATGGAGGTGTTTGGTGATGGTGCTGCAGGTGTTTGGTGATGGTGCTGGAGGTGTTTGGTGATGGAGGTGTTTGGTGATGGTGCTGCAGGTGCTGCTCCGTTAGCAGTGCTACACAAGCACGGCTATTTTAAAAAATCAAGACATTCGTCAATAACATTGCGATTCATATAAATACTGGAATAGGCAACGTTTCGAACAATGAGCCTTCGCATCGTGATTTGAAGAGCCATTTCCCGAGGCGTCGTTTGTTTTCTATATATTACTTTGAGCTCGTGTAAATTGTAAAGTTTAAAATTTCAAATCTACCATTTAAATTTCACGATCATCGTGATAACTATTTCCCCTTTAAGATGCCAAAGTTGTATTTCACAACTTTTGAGTCATTTTATCGTCTTGTTTTGTGCTTTGATGTTACTCAACATAGGCCGAAAGAACCAAAGAATATGAATTCCTGCAGTCACGAAAGTTTAAAGTAAAAATTCAACATAGGCCTGCAAACAATTAGGGCCCCATGCACTGCTGTCAGTGTTGACGCCACACCTCTTTGTTATTCAGCTAGGCCTCGGCAAGGTAAGGTAATTTACCTTTTTACCGGGTAAAAGGGTAAAGGTGTCGACATGCCAAGGGGTAAGGTAAAGGGTAAAGGTAGCTCGGAAGAATTACCCGGTAGGGTAAAGGTAGCGCGAAGTACTACCCGGTAAATACCGTGCCTTGTTTACTACTAAAAGCTGCGTGGCGCAGTCCGTGGCTTCCATTTAATAAGTATTTTTTTTTACTTTTTTTAAAAACACGCTTTAATGAAATGTACGAGTAATGGCAGAACTCCACGACTCCAGGAAGTGGCCCCGAAGCTTGCCGTAACGTAAGGGGCCGTGGTGATTTACAGCCAACGTTAGTTGACTGTGAACAATTATACCCAAGCCGAAACATAACATATAAAAATGAATGTTTAAAAATATGTACTTTTAATGATGGAATATAGTATTGTCATCAGTATGACATAAGTATACCAAGTTTGCAGTCGATACCACATTGGGAAGTGGGTTAAATTAGAGTTACAAGATTTGAGGATACAACAACACAGTTAAAAGAAAGCGTGTAAAATTGGAATAATCGATAGTCTTCTATAAGAATAAAGCGCTCTACCTAGCATTTACCTGCTATAAACCTTTTTCATGTGTAGTAGTACCCCAGTAATTACCCTATAATCGGGTAATTTGCATGGGGTAAGGGTAAAAGGTAGGGTAAAGGTAGGCTCGTTGCTTTTACCTTACCTTGCCGAGGCCTATATTCAACCATAATTAATTTACGAATAAACATTATTACGTGAACATATTGAGCAACGTGCAGGAGGTTCGGCTTGAACTCGCTCCAGAGTTTGCCTAATTGCTTAAACGAGTGGTTCTTGATAAAACAAAAAAGTGCAGCTTGTTGGGCACGTGCTCGGATTCACCTCTAATTCTCGAATTGCGCCACGTGCTAACGCGCCACACGCGCCACGTGGCTAATTCGCTTCCGCGTGCTGCTGGAGGCACTCAAGACGATTCACGCGTGACATTCAACTAATACCACTGGCGTGCGTCGTTAGCACGGGTTTAAGTCGGGATTAGCAAGAAAACATCGATAACATCGGTGACATCGATGTTGGGATTCCTCCGCTAAGACCGAAAGACCCACTTGTTTTGTCACGCCGAAAAACATAGTTGAAGCTCTTCGATGCGACAGAAAAGATAACTGTTTCTTTTCAAACGTCGCCGACACGTGCATGCGACCTCTAGATAGGGTTACAGTGTTGCAGAGGACAAGTAGAGTTTGCCAAAGGTTGAGCTTTAACCCTGCAATACCAGCCTCGTGGCTTTTGATTACAGTACTTTTTTTCGTGCAATTTTTTTAAAACTTATTCACTTCGATAATCAGCATTTATTTTGTATATTTACGTTGCTGTATCCTGTAGACATTAAAAAAAAACTCCGATAAAGGATCAACATCGGACAGACTTTCGTGTTTTCGTGTCAATCTCACGGCGTGCCATCAGTGTTTTCATTAAAAGTATCGATGTTTACCGATCGATATTTCATGGCCAGTCTCAATTGGCAGGGTTTGCCAAACTGAACTGCAAGCCTCGCGGCTGAACACCACGCTGCAACTCCGCTCTTCCCGCGTTCAATGTACTCCCCATTCAAGTAACAAATTAACTCGTCCCACGCTGCACGCGGTCGATGATTGCGCGTCACGTGCTACGTGACGCGCTAAAGCAATTAGCGCCGTCTGCGTGAACAGAGCCGATTGAGATCTCGGCGTGTCTGCGTGTCTCTGCCGCACCTATTCCGTGCGGCGCAGATCAGCGCTAATTGATTAGTACGTCACGTGGGACGTGTTTAACACTGGGATATTTAACCAATTATTGAAATCGGAATACTTGAACCGGCGAATCCACCAAACAAACGAGAGGGTGACACTCAAAGCTTCACACGGGAGGATTAGTAACGCTGCAGGAACTATTTTTGTTCCTGGGTAGTAATTGTTATTTCATAATTGCTTATGCCTAAAAAGTACAGAAAATGGCTATTATTCCCGACAGTGATATGTTTAAATGTACCTATTTTCAATGAGAAAACGTGGTGTGCATTTGTGTCATTCCTTCACATAAAGTCCTGGTCACAGAAGCAAAGTTTGTGGGGAATAGCCATTTTCTGTCCTTTTGAGGCATAAGCAAAGAGGAAATAACACTACCCATGAACAAAAATTGTGTTACATAGTGTAAGAAACATCCACTTGTTGTGTACTGCTATCTCATGGCTACCTCGCAGCCTCGGCGAGGGGAAACCCCTATTCTCAAGAGTTTGGGAGTTTCACAAATCTTCGTGATCCACCAAAATCCCTCGTCTCCTGAGCGCTGTGCAACGGGCATGGTTTGCCGGATCCACTGCTGCGCACGTGGTGCGGCTGTATGCGCGATAATACCTCAACGAGGGAAGTTCAAGTTGTACAGAAGTGAAAACTTTCGAGTCGGAAAGTTCACAAGAAAAAAAAACTCGCGCCACCAGATTTCGGTGTTGACGAGAGGGGTGATTCATACCGCACATTTCGTTCAAAGGTAAAAATATCCGCAGTGATTTTTGTTTCAGTTCCTCCACAAACACGTGATATTGTCACGCGTTGCATCAACGTTTAATGCTCCGATTAATTATTAATGTCTCAGCTTCCCGGTGACTTGAACAATTCTCACCGTGACAATTGAATTTGTTTTGATGTTGGGTGGTGGAGGGTCTTGCGACAATAATTTACAAGTAAAAACCTACGTGTTAAGAAAATCGTGATGTGAATGGTGAATTAAACTTATTTATATCACCCTGCCAGGTCACTCCACGGCCCCAGATCTTCTCAACTTTACATTTGCACAAACAAATAGCGTGCCGTAAATACAATTGTATTTTGTTTCAAAGGACGCATAATTACAGATACGATCGGTCAGCTATACAAAAAAACATCAAATCCGTGTGCGTGGGTGTTGTCACGTCCCACACACAGGAGCCCACAGCAGCAAAAACAAAGATCCCCCGTGTAGCCTTTACGGACTGTTGGGGAAAGTGCTTTTAGCGAGCACCTACGAAGACCGGAATGGTACACGAAGGGGCCAGCACCATGCCCAGCCGATTTCGTCTCGCCAGTGCTGATGTTTTTACACACCGCATCAGGTACTCATTTGAGGCCGAGTCTACCTTGCAGCACGCACAGCCCTCACGCACCACGGCCCGGAGAGTGAAGCGCTCCTCCGAGAATAGAGTTCCCAATCTTACCTCAATCATTCCATTCATTCCTTTACAAACCCCTCATTCCTTTCACTTATTTCTTCTAATTCACTCATGTATCCCTTATTTCATTCTCTCATGCTTCATTCACTTACTCATTCCTCCATCATTCAGCTACTCGTGTTATTCTATTATTGCGTAGGACAGCCGTATGTTCTAGAGCTAGATGCCAATGTAGAGGTCTGCTCGCCACAACCAGAGGGCTTTAGGAGCGTTCGTGTAGTTGTGTTACTCCTCCTCC